TGGCTGCCCCACCCTCTGCACTGGCCCTCAGCCCACTTCCCGTCCAGCACCTGTGTGTGACACCGCGTGCCCGTCTGCCCGTCCCCCTCAAGGCTGCAGTGGTGTTGCTGGCACAGCTGAGTCCACCTGGAACGTTCCTCATTCTCCACGGCAGCTCCCAGAGGGGCAACAGGTGACGGCAAAGGAAGAAAACTCAGGCTGCGGACGAGCCTCATCCCAAGCTCCCCAGGCTCCTCTCCTTTGAGACTTGGACACCCTGAGTCCACATGTTGTCCCGAGGCTCCTGGACTCTGCCCCCAGCAGGAGCCCTAGGCTGGAATGGGGGCAGGATTTTATAAGTAGCTCTGTGTCCTGGGCAGCCCCATGAGGGCCCTCTCTCCCGAGGGGGAAGGGGACAGAGGGACCCCCATCCCAGCAGGGGCACCTTCCACTCCTGCGCCAACACCCCCCGAAGCCCCCACAGTGCACTGTCCAGCAGCCAACCCAGTGAGGTTCCCGAAGCCCCCAGTGCAAGGGTCTAACCCAATACGGCAGCGAGTGGCCCATGCGTGACGGTCCCGGCACTGCTGGCACAAATGACCACAAACAAGGTGGCTTAAAACAACAGAATTGTGCCGTCTCACGGCTCTGGAGGCCAGAGTCTGCAATCGAGGAGCTGCAGGACCACGAGGTGTCTGCCTGAGGGAGCTCCCCACGGCCGCTCTCAGGGGACCCTGCCCTGCGTCTTCCAGCTTCTGGTGGATCAGACACTCCTGGCCTTTGGCCACAGTGCTGCAATCTCTGCCTCTGTCTTCACATGGGCCTCACCCTCTGTGTCTCTGTTTTCTTCTCGGAAAGACACCAGTCATATTGGATTAGGGCCTGTCCTTATGATATCATCCTAGCTTGATTATGTCTGCAGAGACCCTGTTTCCAAATACAGCCACATTCACAGGCCCCGGGGGTTAGGACGCACAGTCGTCACACATAATTCCATCCCATCACCATGTTGAATAGCAGATCCAGTGACTAGTGAGTTTTAATAAAAGGAAACATCTGTAAAAGGTACAATTAGGCAACTGCAAAACCCTACCACTGGTGCAACGCTTTATTCTCTTGGATTGGTCTTTAGTTGCAAACAATTAACAATTCTTAAGGTCTACTAAATTCTGTTTTAAAGATCTTCAAAATCAGTTTCATGAATGAGCTAAAATGTGCACCTTTACGAAATAAAAATCACGTCTCAGAGTTTACACTGTCACGCTGTTTAAACGTCAAACACAAACAAAAGTGCTGAGGTCACAACAAATCAGAAAGCGGAAATAAGTTGTTTCTTCACTTTTCTAGTCACAGTGCTGTCGCTGTTTATTTCTACTCGACTGTTTTGACACAGAAAACGTGGTATTGAGGTAGGAGACAGGCGAGCCTGGTCCCCGGACCGACCAAAGACAGGACAAACTGGAAGGGACGCCGAGGCCACCTCCAGCCGCTCACTGCCTTGGCAACACCTAGAAGTGACTGCCCATCCTCCAGCTATATCTGAATAACCCGCCCCCTAATTAGCATGTCATTAAAAGTGGTTACCAATATGACTGCAAGTTGGCCCTGGGCGGCTGCACTCTGCACACCGCCTGAGGGGCAGCCCCGCGCTGTGGGAGCAGTCGCAGAGCCGGACCACCACGGCCGCCTCAGCCAAGCTGCCGGCTTCCCCACCACCTGGCTCCTGAGTCCCTTCCGGAGGGAAACGAGAAGCTGCCCAGCATCAGTGCCCCAGGGCTGAAGACGCAGGCTGCACCCAGGGCCAGTGCAAACACTTCTGTCGCTTCGAATTTACTCCTAAAACCAGTGCATGTCGCTGAACCCCACTGGGCTGGGGCAGCAGCTCTGACTGGGAGTTCTACAACTAAACACCACGGAGAATGTCGTGTTTACTGAAGCGTACGTGTAACCCTGTCATTGCTTGAACGTGTCTCTAGGAAAGATAAGATGGAGTCCTAACTCTCAGTACCACAGGGGGAGGCCTCACTTGGAAATCACGTCTTCAAGCAAATTCAGATTTACATTCAATCAAATTCAAATTAGGTCATTAGAGTGGGCCTAAGGCAGGGTCCCAGGCAGGAGGGGTGGGGGCCACATCCCTGCCTCCTTCTCAGACAGGACCTGGTCTCAGGGCCCAGCCTGTGAGCTCCCTGCCCGTGCTGCTGGCCACTGGGAGAGGCTCCCCGACACACACTGGTCAGCCGCTGCTGGCCAGCCTCGCCCTGAGTTAAACCCAGGAGAGACAGTGAGAGAAGCTCCCGGTGTGGGTGGGGCTGGGAGGGAGGAAAGGCCCAAGGGAGCTGGCAGGGAGGGTGGGTGCCGGGACGTCTCTCACAGCACGCTGCTCCCTTTGCCCTCGTTTTCTGCCCATGAAGCCACTTTCCAGCTCGCCAGGAACGGGGAACCCTTGGTAGGAGATGGGACGGGTGTCCCAGAGCCGGGACGAGCAATTCCAAGCTCAGATCCCTTCTGTCTCCTGTGACTCTCACTGTTTTGAACCCCAAAGGCCCACAGATGGCTGTGACTGTGACCACATCTCCCAGAGTCACCTGGGTCCCAGGCCCGACCACTCTTTGGGAGCCGGCTGCCACCTGTCCACTGTCATATCGGTTCAGACTCAGCAGCCTCATCACCTGGGATGAGCCAGGGCGTCGTGTCAGGGGCTGGGGGGCTGCATGAGCCCCAGCCCCTTCCACTAAGAAACGCCTCCTGGTCCCCACGCTCCAGCCTCTAGGCTGTGGGACTCACCCTTCAGGTGGCCAACACTCCCACGGTCGCGTGATCCTTTCCTCTCCCCATGCAAACAGAGGGCGCAGGGACCTCGGGCAGGGCCATCACCGCCCAGAGGAGAGTCTGTGCCTTGCTGCTGACCGGGGGCCCTGAGGCATCGGGCGTCCTCCCACGCACCCCTCTTGCCCACGCCTGGGCCTTCCAGGCCCGCCCCCGCCTGGACCGGTGGACCCCTCCCCGTGGCCCCTCTGATCCACAGCCAGCACAGGGGGAGGCCCCTCCAGAGGGTGGAGGCAGTTGCCCGAGTCCAGCTGCCAAGAACAACAAGGAGAAGGGAGTGGGACTCCCCTCCCCCAACTCTCCACCCCAGACCCCGCTCAAGGGGCACATTCACCGAAGACAGGAAGCCCCACATCTGATGCCTGCCGGGCCTGCTCACCGCTTCCCGGAACGTGCCCCCATCTCATCGGGAAACACCAGGCCAAGCCTCTCCTGTGGGCGCTCTCCGAGTGGGAAGAGGCAGGAGCTCCTCTCAGGGCCGGGGCCCATGAGCGAAGTGCTTCGCTGGGGACCCTGGCGAGGAGGCCCCTCCCGGGCCGCTCGGGGGACCCTTCCTGCAAGTTTCTGCCTATGCCTCGCTTCCGGCCTCCGACCCAGGACGGCACCAGCCCTCCCCCGCAGCGCGATTTCTAAAAACCCAGGATCCCGAGACGCGCTGCACTGGTGCAGTCAGGGTATGTCCCGCCTGTTTCCTTCGATTCTGTGTCCAGTGCTGGTGCACAGCCTCAAGTCATCCGCCCGCCTCGGCCTCCCAAAGTGCTGCGATTACAGGCCTGAGCCACCGCGCCCGGCCTCCCATATTCTTCTGCAACCACCATCCTCCCGGTGCCCTCCACCCTGAGCAGGGAGGCTGGACCAGGAGCACAGGGACCCCTGGGCTCAAGGCAGGGAAGGACCACAGAGCTTGCAGGCGGAAAGTGGAGGGGAGGGCAGGTCCTGTCCTGGGAGAACAGATTCCAGACCCCAGCCAGGAACCGGTGGGACTCCTGGGAAGGGGGCCAGGGAGTGGACAGAAGTGAGCCTTGGTCTGCCTGGGGCCCGAGTGACCAGTAGCAACCCCAGCTCCCTCTCATCAAGACTGGGGAAACTGAGGCATACGCCACCCATGGTGCCCCAGGCAGAGCCCAGCCTGCCCCAAGACACCGCCGCTTTGCTGTACGTGGGGTTTTCAGGCGAGGCCGGGGTGCGTGCAGGAGATCCAGAGGGGCAGGGCCCTGGGGAGATACTACGGCCCATGGGGCCAGTGCCACAGCCCTCCCCAGGCTTCCCTGCATGGCAGCCCCGGCCCGAGGCAGCCAACCCGTGGGCTTCCATCTTCACAGCCAGAGGGAGGAATGAGCAGGGCTGGTCTGCAGCAGGACTGGTGGAACCTGGGCCAGCGCATTAAACAGTCACAAGACCCTGGTGGGTCACAAGGGTCACCCACACCCTTCCCAGTCCACCAGCACAGGTGGTGCTGCGAGAAGACCGATGGACGCCCAGTGTGGCGGCCCCTCGGCTCTGCAGCAGGGACAGCTCTCAGTGTCTCCTGACCAGGCCGTCCCAAGGCCGTTTACCATCTGGGGGACCAGGGTCGGGGCAACACAGGACGGGGCATCATCACCACCCAGGAGCAAACGCTAAGCCACGCGTGTAAGACCCTGCAGGGGCCCTGGAACAAGCGACCTTCCCACAGCGACCTCTCAGACCCCTGGTGCCCAGTTTTGGGAAGCAGGTGGCACGTCTGTGACAACAAGGTCCAGCAGCCACCACCCAGGCCCATCTTCACACCTGGGATTCCAGGCCCTGCCCAGCATCATGCCCAGCACACGGCAGCTATCTTGGGCGGCTCGAGGTGCCACAGCTGCCGTGGGGGCTGGGGCTGAGCTGAGGGCCATCATGTGTGGGGCCACAGGCCGCAGGGAACCCGGGAGAGACCCACCTGCTCATTTTCTTTTCGTTTTTTTTTTTTTTTTTTTTTGAGACGGAGTCTTGCTCTGTCGCCCAGGCTGGGGTGCAGTGGCGCGATCTCGGCTCACTGCAAGCTCCGCCTCCCGGGTTCACACCATTCTCCTGTCTCAGCCTCCCGAGTAGCTGGGACTACAGGTGCCGCCACCACGTCTGGCTAGTTTTTTTTGTATTTTTAGTAGAGACGGGGTTTCACCGTATTAGCCAGGATGGTCTCGATCTCCTGACCTCGTGATCTGCCCGTCTCGGCCTCTCAAAGTGCTGGGATTACAGGCGTGAGCCACCGCGCCCGGCCCCACCTGCTCATTTCTAACCTTCAGTATCGGCCGCAGCAGTGTTTGAGGTTGAATTCTACATTTTTATGGTTTCTCAGTAAAGCAACGCTTCCTGCTCATGGTTTGGGCTGAGCCCCTGGGGTTTCAGGGCATCTGGGGCCTGTGTTGGGATGGGGCAGGGGGTCCATGCTATCTTCGTCTGAAGGGCTCTCGCCAGTGGACGTCAGCCTGACCTCCCGTCCCTCTTGCCGCCCGGCCACCAACGCTCCTTGCCTCTGCAGCTGGGGCCACTCCCCCTTCCCACCGCCCTGAAGCTCTTCCTGCGGGACAGGCGCCAGGCCATAGTGGGGGGTGTCCCTGGACGAGCTTTCCCAGATGCACCCCAGTCATGGCCACATCTGGGACTAGTCGCCCATTCTCTGTCCTCAGTGTCCTCCGCCCTCAGCAAACACCACAGGCCTCTCGCAGACGGCAACCCACGTGCAGCAGCCACGACCGGCACTTCCCAGCATTGCCGGGCCACAGCCTGGAGTACATACCTGGCCCCAAGGGGCTGTTCCACGGCGGGGAGCAAGCCCTGGGGGGCGCCGGCCGTTGGGAAATCAGACAGAGTCTGCTCCACCGGGAAAGCCACGTGCAGCTCAGCCGGACTCAAGCTCGGGGTAGGGGGAGGCAGCTGAGGCGCCTGAAGGCTGGGCTGGGGCAGAGCAGCTGGAGGCCGGAGAGAAGGGCAGGCCCTGACAGCAGGTGAGAGTGGCATGGACCCACCAGGTTGGTCTCCTCACCGGACTGAGGCCCTCCCTTCCCCACCAGGCTGGTCTCACCAGACCGAGGCCCTCTCTGCCCCACCAGGCTGGTCTCACCAGACCGAGGCCCTCTCTGCCCCACCAGGCTGGTCTCACCGGACCGAGGCCCTCTCTCCCCCAGGCACCCACTAGGCTGGTCTCACCGGACCGAGGCCCTCCCTTCCCCACCAGGCTGGTCTCACCAGACCGAGGCCCTCTCTCCCCCAGGCACCCACTAGGCTGGTCTCACCGGACCGAGGCCCTCTCTGCCCCACCAGGCTGGTCTCACCAGACCGAGGCCCTCTCTCCCCCAGGCACCCACTAGGCTGGTCTCACCGGACTGAGGCTCTCTCTCCCCCAGGTCCCGGGCCGGCCTCCATGTCCTCCTACACCACTCAGCTTCGGTGGCTCACTGGACAGACTCAGGGACAGTCTCTGCCTGCCTTGGGGTTTTTCCTCCCCAGGTTCCAGTTCTCCCACAAACGCCCTCTGCTCACCTCTCAAGGTACAGGAAGAGCCGTGTTCAGAGGTCCCACTGGAGACCCCTCCAAGGCACGGCAGGTGCCAGCAGCAGCAATACCAGGGCACCCTGCCCAGAAGTAGAGCCAAGTGAGCAAGCCTGGGGGCTCTGGAGGTGCAGACAAGACCGTCTGGGGGCAGAAGAGTCAAGTGTCCTGGTCAAGGACACACCGTGGCTGGGACCAGGGACCCCTCCCCACCACCCTGGGAAGCACAGCTCCCTGCGCAGAAGTCCAGACCTGGTGGAGCTCGGCTCGGCCCCACTGCACTGGAGAGGCAGGAGCCCCAGCAGTGGCTTCTCCGTGAGCTGCGGCTGCAGCGAGGCGTCCCCGGCACAGCCCCACGGCTCCAGGTGGAACCGGGCGGAGGAGGAGCCTGGGAACCACTCAAGAGGAGCCGGGCGGGGAACACGGCCCCTGTGGCGTCTCCTGGGCAGAAGCAGGTGTGGTCAGGATGAAGGAAGCACCTGGTCTGTGGCCCAGACAGTGTCTCCTCCTATCCACATCCGGAGCAACACTGAGGTTGAACAGAGACTCTGGTGGACAAAGACCCGTGGGCACTGCTCGGTCTGCCCCTGCCCAAGTTGCCCGGGCTGCTTCTTACAGAGCCCCACTGCATGGCACACACATCGCCTCAGGGGTCCTGCCACCCTTGCCCACCCTCCCACAGACCCGCCACGCCCCTCACGGGTCCTGCCACCCTTGTCCACCCGCCCACAGACCCGCTATAGCCCCTCACAGGTCCTGCCACCCTTGTCCACCCGCCCACAGACCCGCCACGCCCCTCACGGGTCCTGCCACCCTTGTCCACCCACCCACAGACCCGCCACAGCCCCTGTCAGGCCCAGGGAAGTGCAGCGCCTGTGGGTGGGCCTGGCAGACCCAGCCAACGTGGCCGACACCCAACCTGGCAGCCGCTGCAGCCAGAGACCAGTTATCTACCATCAAGAATGTGCTCTTGACTATTTTTATGTCATCTGTGTTTTCTTTATTGCCTCGGTTTTTAGTAAAGCTCCTTGTTGGACACGTGAGTCCTGCTCAGCAGTGCTAAAAGGGGAAAGGAAGGGGCGTTGGGCTCTCTCTGGGCAGAGAGTGCTGGGCAGAGTGGCCCTCCGCCCCTCCCACAGCGCCCCTCCCTCACCGGAGCCTGGGTGCTTTTTTGTTTCTTTGTTGTTTAGCATATTTTTCATCTTGCCCGTGATCAAGCTGATGGCCAGGAAAGTATGTGGCTTGGTAAGCAAAATTCTTCTGAAGAAATTCCAGAGCCCCCAGCCGCCGTGACCTCACCGCCCTGATACCAGCCAAGCCTCCACTGTTTTTATAAACCACGGCCCGCCCGGGTGGCAGCACACAGTGGCCCAGTGTTGACTCCGGATTCCTCACGTTCCCTGGCATCCCCCGTGGGGCCCCTGTCCCAGCAGTGGGGGGAGCAGAGCAGGCAGCTCGGGGTCCCTGGGCAGCCATCCCCTCCCCGCTGGGTGAGCCGGCGTCCTCCTGCAGGTCTGCGTCCCCACGTCCTGCTCCTGGCTTCTGCCCCTCAGAACCCCTGCCATAGCTGCACTGCCACGACCTCCTGCTGTTAGTGGCCGCCCCCACCTCCGGAGCCCAGCCCACTCTGCTCCGAGGTTGCCTGGGTGGGCACCCACCTGGAACCAAGGGTGAATGGCAGAGCCCGTGCTGGCTGCAGGCCAGACACCAGCAGGGCTGACCAGGCCCCAGGCCGCTCCTCCGGCGGGGGCAGCACCCACTGCGTGCTGGCACAGGGGCTGCACTGGGAACCAAGGCTCGGCCCTTATCCCGGGACTGAGCCTGGGCTGATGTCCTAGAGGGAAGACCTGGGGGTAGGGGGCACTGGGGAGGGCAGGCGTGGAGCATGGTGGGGAAGGAATGGCATGAGGGGAGGGGGTGTTGGGGGAATCCCACAGGAGAGGAAGGAAGAGGCTGAGGTCACAGCGCAGAAAATCCCAGGACGGCAGAAGGCCCTCGGGCCTCGGGGCGCTGCTTCCTGGGCCTCTGCTCACAGCCCCGTGCCCCTCCTGGTAATGAGGAACCCACCTGCCGTCCTTCACAAGGGCTGGTTTAATCCCAGCAGGCAGGTTCCCGGGAACGTGCCCGTGCACAGCAGGCCGCCCTCCATGCTTGCCCAGTGAGTGGTCAGGGAGGAGAGGACCCCAGTGTCTCACCAGCGCCTCTCGGGACCCTCACCACTTTTGACCACACAAAGGAGCAAAGAAGGGTTCCCGAGGGCGGCCAGGGCCGAGACCCCACCAACGCGCCTGACGGGTGAACTCCGGGGGCCGCTGCCTGCACAGAAGGGGAGCGGACGGCCCGGCTGGGGCCAATTCCCACCACGCCGGCCTGGTTTCTAAACAGTTTAATCAATTAGCGAGGTGGAAGCCCTCAGTGTCAGCTGCAGTGCTAATGAGGGGCCCCGCCCCCACCCGTGGGACCCGAAGCCAGATTCTGGCCCCTCAGCAGGTCCTCCCAGTGCAGTGGGGGCGGGGGGGCAAGGAGGGGGTCTGGGAACCCAGCGGTGCAGCCCCCACCGGAGGCTCAGCCACACGGTGCCCAGTGCCCGGCCCTCCCTGCAGCCAGCTTTCCTTCTGGAACCACAGGGAACCTCCGACAAAGCCCTCCCGGCAGAGGAAGCTCAACTCCTGCGATAGCCAGGAAGGGGTGGCTCCGTATGTGGGGGGAGTCGAGGTCGAGGGAGGCTGAGGGGTGAGCCCGGACTGTCTCTGCCACCCCAGCATCCCAGCTGACGCCTCTCTCTCACACACACAGAGACACATGTGAACACGGGCCACACTCCTGCCCAACCTGACGTGGCTTGCACACGCCGGGGCCTCAGCCAGCCCCGTGACAAACGAGAAACTGAGTCACAGCTCCCATGGGGCCCAGCGTTTGCAGATGGGGGACCAGCGTGGAGCTGTGGGCTGCGGTTGCTCTCAGCTTCTCTCTCATGGCCATCAGTCGACTGGACCCCCAGGGTGAAAGGTGGAGGTGTCTGGCATCCAGCAGGCAGGAGCCCCCCACCACCCAGCACAGGCTGCCCCCTCGACCCGGAGAGTTCTTGGAAAACCTCCAGGGCTCCCTGGAGGGAAAAGGGCAGGTGGAGGGGGCAAGTGGGGGCCGGAAAAGCAGGGGCAATCCTCACTCTGGGAGCAAGGAGGAGCTTGTCAACCCCCCTCCCTTATGGGGGTCTGACAGATGTGGGGCTACTGGGAGAAGCCACCACCCCCAAGAGCTCTGAAGCCTCCGACTTGTCTTGGGAAAGTCTCGCTGCTGTTGGAGCACGTGGGGGACGACGGGGGCCACCCTGGAGGGGAAGCAGTCGCTGTCCAGGGCAGGACCAGGTGTTCAGCAAGGACAGTACGGGCTGCGCTGCACTCCGACGGCCTTTCTGGTCGCTCTCCGGGGACGAGTCACCCCCTGAGCCCCGGCCTCCTTGCCTTCGTGTGGAGCTCCCCAACCCTCTCTGGTGGCAAAGTCCGGTGAGCCAGGACCCCCTGCATTGGTGATGACCTAGTGAGTCCAGGCCCCAGCCAGGGCAGCATCTCCCCCGGTCACCTGCACCTGCCCCCACTGGGCTCCCTGCCACCCACCCTGGCCTGCCCAGGTCAGACGCCCCCAGCAGATGGGAACCCTCAGGGCTGGGTGCTGTGTTCACCCCTGGGGTGTCAGGCAGGACCATGATATCAAGTCCCCAGGAAGGAGCTGGGGGTGCAGACCTGCAGGCAGGGGTGTCCTGCAGAGGAGAGAGCTCAGGGAGAGCCCAGAAGCCACTTCCAGATGCCGGGCTGCAGGCGTGGCTCAAAGCCCACCTCCTCTGTGAAGCCCACCTCGACCCTCATAGTTAGAAATGAGTTCTGCGGCCGGGCGCGGTGGCTCACGCCTGTAATCCCAGCACTTTGGGAGGCCGAGACGGGCGGATCACGACGTCAGGAGATCGAGACCATCCTGGCTAACACGGTGAAACCCCATCTCTACTAAAAGTACAAAAAATTAGCCGGGCGAGGTGGCGGCGCCTGTAGTCCCAGCCACTGGGAGGCTGAGGCAGGAGGATGGCGTGAACCCAGGAGGCGGAGCTTGTAGTGAGCCCAGATCGCACCACTGCACTCCTGCCTGGGCAACAGGGCGAGACTCCATCTTGGAAAAAAAAAAAAAAGTGAGTTCTGCACCCCCTAGCACCCACACACTCAACCCTGACCCTCTCTTTTTCCTCAGAGGACATGTGGATCCACTGTGCGCATGTTCACGGCCGTGGGCTCCTGCAGGAGGGCAGGTCCCAGAGCTGAGCAGGCAGCTGGACCTCACAGCCCTGTCCTGGCCCAGTGAAGAGATGAGGCCCCAGTGCCATCAGGGTACCTGCTGCGGCAGCGGGGCATGAGGGGCCCACACACGGCTCTTGGGGCTCCCTAGCACCCCAATAAACAGGGCAGGCAGGCGTGGGTCCCCAAGGGGCCTGTGCCAGGGGCCCTGACTGACACTGGTTGGAGGTGGGAGGAAGGTGGACACCCCTGAGCATCCACGAACTACAGGAGCCTGAGGCCCTTGGGGCATCCCATGGGTGGGAGGAGAACACTAGGTCCAGCGTCCTCACGAGTCCCTCTGTCCCCAGCTCTAATGTGGGCCCTGCCTGGCAGGGTTGTGGGGACAGGTGAGGCTGCCCCTCTGCAAACAGACCAGGGAGTGCAGTGACCACCAACCACTGGGCAAACCCATCAGGCTGGGGGCTCCCTGCACCAGCGTGTTTGAGGAACGTGGTGAGAAAGGCGTCCGGGCCTCTTAAGGCCTTGGGATTGGACCAGAGGAGGCATCGGAGGAGCAGGACAAGTGGAGCTGGCACTAAGGGAGGGTGGGTCCCTGCGCGCATCGTGGCCTGACACCCGGAGGCTCTGGGCAGCAGGAGGGCACGGGTCAGAGGGAGGTCGGGCGCTTTAGCTGCTGGGAAATGTGGATCTTCCCACTGCCCTGCAACCAGCAGCCGCTTGGGGAGGCTCCCTCGTGGTACTAGGCTCACAGGCCAGAGAGAGAAGGTTCTCGGGTGCCAGCACCAGGCGCCCACCCACAGGCCCCGACAGCCTCGGCTGCCTCTCACAACAGCCTCCTGGACCCCTCCCACCTCAGCCCCGGCCCCGGACCCCGAGTGGAGACTGTTTGCTAAGCTTTGCCTTCCCCTAGTCTCTGGACCAAAAGCCCCCCAGCCCACAGGCACTTCTTAAAACACAGTAGCCTCCCATGAAGCGTGGCCTCTACTCCACCTGACACCAGGTTCGGGCCCCAGGTTCGGGCCTACCCCCGCATCCCTGTAATTGAGGAGAGGCCGCCAGCCTGAAACCTGACCTTCTTGTTCTGCAGCCTCCTCCGGTCAGTCAACACCCCTGGAGCTGGCCCAGAAAACCCAGGTTGCAGGAGCAGGTTCTCTGCCTCCCCACTGTGGGCTGGGCACCTGTGCTGTGGCACCCTGTTGGCAAAGGTGGGCTGTCCACCAGCCACAGTGGGACCTGGCCCAGCCCCAGCCTTGCTGCTTCAGGGTCTCACTCAGAAGCACCTGCTTCTTGTTGTGACCTGTGGGAGCCTGTAGACATGTGCTGGCTCAGATCTGAGTCAGTACACACCGGAGCTGGTGCACACCTGAGCTGGCGCACTCCTGAGCCGGTGCACACCGGAGAAGGTGAAGAGTCCTCCCCCGGCTGAGGAGAAGGTGAAGGGTCCTCCCTGGAGCCCCTGGAGGCTGAGGAGAAGGTGAAGAGTCCTCCCCCGGCTGAGGAGAAGGTGAAGGGCCCTCCCCCGGCTGAGGAGAAGGTGAAGGGCCCTCCCCCGGCTGAGGAGAAGGTGAAGGGCCCTCCCCCGGCTGAGGAGAAGGTGAAGGGCCCTCCCTGGAGCCCCTGGAGGCTGAGGAGAAGATGAAGGGTCCTCCCCCGGCTGAGGAGAAGGTGAAGAGTCCTCCCCTGGCTGAGGAGAAGGTGAAGAGTCCTCCCCCGGCTGAGGAGAAGGTGAAGGGCCCTCCCCCGGCTGAGGAGAAGGTGAAGGGCCCTCCCCCGGCTGAGGAGAAGGTGAAGGGCCCTCCCCCGGCTGAGGAGAAGGTGAAGGGTCGGCTGAGGAGAAGGTGAAGGGCCCTCCCCCGGCTGAGGAGAAGATGAAGGGTCCTCCCCGGCTGAGGAGAAGATGAAGGTCCTCCCCCGGCTGAGGAGAAGGTGAAGAGTCCTCCCCGGCTGAGGAGAAGGTGAAGGGTCCTCCCCTGGCTGAGGAGAAGGTGAAGAGTCCTCCCCTGGCTGAGGAGAAGGTGAAGGTCCTCCCCTGGCTGAGGAGAAGATGAAGGTCCTCCCCCGGCTGAGGAGAAGGTGAAGGGCCCTCCGTGGAGCCTCTGGAGGGAGAGGCTCTGCCCACACCATGACTTTGGATTGTGGCCTCAGGAACTCAGAGAACGAGGCTCTCTCAGCCTGCAGTTGGTGGTGATTTGTTCTGGTAGCCGCATCCTTTGGGGACATGGCGTCACCAACTTAGGTTCAGACCAGCTCCTGGATCCAAAGAGAACTGCTGTCGGCTCCTGCACTTTGGGGAGGCTGGGGCCACAGGGCAGGACCTGAATTAATGGAAATGCAGCAGCAGGCGTGGACGGACAGTGGCCGGGAGGAGCAAGGCGCGTCTGCCGAGGCAAGACGCCGTGGGGTATGTCTAGCGTGGCCCTGAACAAGGGCCGTGGCACCGAACCCTGGCAAAGATAGACTGGGCTCCTAGCTGGTCGATCCTGGTCTTTATTCTCTGGAATGGAAACAACCAGCAGTCCGAAAAGGACTACAGCTGGCCAAGCTCATTCTTTAAAAATAAAATGAAAATAAAAAACATATTATTTGGCTCCATAAACTCTGTCGTGGAATAAACAACTCTGAATGGCACCTTTTCACACGTCCACTGTGCCCAATGGCCAGCGCTTCCCCAACACCAGGCCAGACGCCGTGACTCAAACGTCTTTAAGAACAGTATCAAATGGCCAACCAAGGCATTTTAAGACACAGGAGTTGGTTTCCTATGGACATTTCTTTTTTACCAAAAAATATAATAACTTAGTTTGCATTTTACAGCATTTCCAATTGGCCAGGGCGTCCTTGGCTGGGAGCTCATGGGGTTCAGTGTGGCGAGAACGTCCACAGCTGGGCACCAGGTTCAGGCCTGGGCCCCAGGCATGCGGCCCCCAGAGGCGGCCCCACTGCACGGCCCACCGGACCGCAGCACCCACCGCAGCACGTGACTCATGGGAAAAGGGAGGGCAGCGCCCAAAGGACTCCACCAGCGTCAGTCCATGCCAACCTCGCACGGGTTCAGTCCCCTCTCCTGGGCGTCCCTGTACATCCTCTGGAAGTCTTTGAAGCGTGGGGCACAGCCAAGCCGCGCCTCCCCAAAGTGCATGTGGCCGGTAAAGAGAAAGTCGCCATGCCCTGGCCGCACGCCACACTCCAGCAGCGTCCTGACACGCCCCTGCCAGTGGCCGTCACCCTCGGGCACCGGCTCGAAGACCCTGCTTTTCTGCCGATAGAGTCTGCTCACGCGCAGGTGGATGGCTGAGTCCTGCCGCTCGGGCTCGTGGGTGACTTCCTGGATGGAGCCTCGAACGGCTGTGCGGGAAAGGAGATGGAGACAGGCAGTGAGCAGGCATACGGCAAGGCCACCGCCCCTCCCCCGGCCCCCCGCACCGTCGGGCACTGGAACGGGTAGCTGACCCCTGACTCTGCCATCTAGCGTGGAAATTCCCACAGAAAAGTACAAGGTAACGGCAGGAAGCTGCCAAGGGGTGTCCCAGATAGTTAGACTTTGTCAGAAAACAGGTGCTCTCTCTACCAAGGGCCAGACACGTAAGTGGGAAAACAGAACAAACACCGCGGTGTGTATCAGATGCTTTTCAAGTCAGAACAGCTGACACACACGGCGCCCCTGCAATTCTGTGTCCTGATCAGACAGACCCGGTGCTGCTCAGAGGAGAGGGTGGGCATGGGGGCAGCCTTAGGGCCGCACTTGGAGACCCCTGCCAGGCCCCGATTCCATGCCAGGGATCAGGAAAGCAGTGAGAGTACAGAGTGGACACGGCTTCCACGGCACCACACGGGAGGCCAAACCTTTCCCAGAGAGCGTCTGTGCAAACACCACAAGCAAAGGGGCTGCAGTCCTGGGACCCCAAAGCTCCCCCTGCAGAGCCGCAGAGCCACCGGGAGCCTTAGGCATGGAACAGCGTGAACTCTGGTAGGGGGCAGGGAGTGTCCAACGCCAAGGTTGCTCTGGGCTGCTGATAAAATGCTGTTTACAAAGCACTTCAGCAAGACAAGCTGCTGGGAAACAGTGGACTTCAAGAGTCCCCTCGAAGAGCAATGATCTCATTTACAAAATGGGAAAATGCTTGACAGTCACCTAAAACAACCCCCGGCTCCCTCCAAGTGTGGGTGGTGGAGTCCCCGTCCCCAGGGCTGGTGGAGGGCCAAGCCCAGGGCTTCCGCGGCGTGTAACCCTCCAGCAGGGTCCACGCAGTGCCGGAAGGCTGTCCTGGGCCCTGAAGAGGGACCCCTGGGCCCGAACAGCTCCACGTGGCAGGAACCAGGCTCACAGGAGGTTGAAGCTACCAAGCAGACACTCACCGAAGTCGCTGGTGCAGACGGCTAGGAGCACCTCGGTGTCACTGCAGGGACGGCACGGGGCTGGGGAAGAAAGGCAGAGTCAGGAAGCAGCCTGGATGGGGCAGGCTCTGGGATGCCACCCACCACAGTCAAAAGAGCGTCACACTCAGCAAAGCGAAGTCAGGGAGGTGTCCACGTCAAGGCACCTCTTGGCCAACGCGACTTCCGAGGTGAGTCGGCGGCACGTGCTGGAGGGGCCGGCAGAGCAGGAGACAGAAAACACAACCTCAGCCACGCCAGGGTCTCACCCAGGGAACCCCTCAGCCCCACCTGGACCAAAGGCACCTGCAACTCGGCCATGATGGGCACGTGCCCTGACAGCAAGACCCTCAGTCCGGCCACGTCCCAGGGCCATTGTGGGGAGGGGTCTTTGTGCTGTTTCCCCACTTAGCTCCTCAGTGCAGCTGAGCCAGACTCAGAAATCACTCTCATGCCTGACGCAAATGCAAAGCCCACCCGGGGCTGAACCGAACCCACGGGAGGAGAGTCACCCCCAGCCCGGGGCTGAACCGAAACCACGGGACAACAGTCACCCCCAACCCACCCCACGGCCCACGACGCCGGGACCACCCTCACTTCCCAGAATCACCCCCAACCCACCTCCACGGCCCACGATGCCAACGCCGGGACCACCCTCACTTCCCAGAATCACCCCCAACCCACCTCCACGGCCCACGATGCCAACGCCGGGACCACCCTCACTTTCCAGAATCACCCCCAACCCACCTCCACGGCCCACGATGCCAATGCCGGGACCACCCTCACTTTCCAGAGTCACCCCCAACCCACCTCCACAGCCCACGATGCCAACGCCGGGGCCACCCTCACTCGCCGGAGTCACCCCCAACCCACCTCCACGGCTCATGATGCCGGGACCACCCTCACTTTCCAGCTCTCTCAAAGGGCAGACACTCCCCACAGCTGTGCTGCCCACTTCCCTGGGCCACGACGGCAGCGGCACCTGAAAGGAGGGTCACATCCTGCAGGACCCCCCATGCGGCTAGAAGGGCCAGCAATGCTGAGACTCCAGGAAGGGGATCCCTGAGCAGGCAGCGACGCGTCCGCCTGCCACCGGCGTGGGGCCTCACCCAGCAGGGCAGAGATCCAGTCAGGGCCATGGGCTCAGCCCCTTCTCCGGACGCCACCTGGCCGTGGGATGAGACACACACCCCAAACGGCTCTCAAGCCAAGCCCTGCTCACAGAACCCCCTCTAAAGTCCCTGAAGCCTGCAGGGCCCGGCCTCCCCCAGGGAATGCAGGAAGCACGGAGGCTTCTCAGAATGAGCTCCCGCACCAGCCAAACCAGGCTTTCTCAACGAGCTTCTCCCGGGGCCCAGCCCTCGCCCTGCCCTTCGCCCCAGTTTCTCAGACGGGCGGGCCACTGTGAAACAGAAACCTGCACCGCGCGTCCCCACACCCGGGACGGACTTGGGAAACGTGGTTTTATTATTTGCTCTTATTGCAGGTTTCAAGGCCTCACCTCACCTGTTCTGAGCCTCTAGGTTTTGGCCCCAAGTCTGCTAACTCAACAGAAGCTTTGAAATGTGAAATCTCAATGATGCTGGTTTCCCCAGTGCCGTTTCACCTTCTGAAGGCTCTGAAACGTCCCTGGCCGAGAGCTGGGACAGCCTTGACGTGGGGTTCGCCAGTCCTGGAAGAAGCTAATGCCGTCTGCACCCCTGGCCGGCTGTCCTTGCTGGACTGAAGTGAGCTGAGCTCTCACCTGCCTGATGAGCGTGGGTCCGAGCTGGCTGCTGGTGACTGGCGGCCCCGGGGGACAGGGCAGCACACATACCTGGCACCTTGGCCGAGGTGGGGACAGCTGCTCGGAGACGCCATCTGGGGTCAGGAACTTCCTTCTGGGGTCAGGAACTTCCTTCTGGGGTCAGGAACTTGCATGGACCCTCAGGGCCTGCACATGTGGTCAAAGGAGACCCTGGAGTCTGCAGTGCCCTGGGCAAGCACAGGTGTCTGTGGGCCCCTCAGGGTGGAGGTAGGAGGGACCCAGAGACAAGGCCAGGCAGGGGTGAGGGCGCCTCCTAGCCAGGCTCAGTGCCTGACTCACCGGCCCACCCACCTCCTCCTGCATTTGCTTCCATTAAGTTATCAGGAAAAAGAAGCTGCAGAGCAAGCACAGACTGCTGGGCGCCTCGAGGCCGGTCCAGCCTGGCACTGGGGTCACCTCGAGGCCGCTCCAGTCTGGCACTGGGGGCACCTCGAGGCCGGACCAGCCTGGCACTGGGGGCACCTTGAGGCTGGACCAGCCTGGCACTGGGGGGTACCTCGAGGCCAGTCCAGCCTGGCACTGTGGGCACCTCGTGGCCAGTCTAGCCTGGCACTGGGGGCACCTCGAGGCCGGACCAGCCTGGCACTGGGGGCACCTCGAAGCTGCTCCAGCCTGGCACTGGGGGCACCTCGAGGCCGGACCAGCCTGGCACTGGGGGCACCTCGAGGCCGGTCCAGCCTGGCACTGGGGGCACCTCGAGGCCGGTCCAGCCTGGCACTGGGGGCACCTCCGCCATCCCAGCAACTCTGCAGAACAGGAACTTCTGGCCAAATCCCCCTCCTGCTGCTTCGTACAGACTCACACTGCAGCCCCCACCACTGGGGCCTCCTGACCCACAAGCTGGAAGCTGCCCGGTGGGTTCTTCTATGGGGGCCCCGGGGTGTGGCCCACCCTCGATACTTGGCTCACCTATGTGGACCCCCATCCCACTCGCCGGCTGGGGGCCTGCAGACCATGGTGGGCCTAATGCAGGCGCGTGCTGGACAGAGGCCAGGGAGGGCCAGGACAGCGCTGGGGGGACTCAAATTTCCGGCAGCATTTTTATCCTTCACAGGTGAGACTGCACCCCGGCCAGCACCTGCCCAGTGGCCACAGGGCCAGAGGTCCCAGTCCAGGGCAACTCATGTGACTGAGGGTGGCCTCGGTTGAGAGAGAGCTGGTCAACAACAGAAGCCTGGTGACCACAGCCCACAAGAGGGTCCCCTCACTGAGCAGCACCCTCCGGCTGGGCAGCCATGGCAGCTGGGCTGGGCCAAGTGGTCCTGCAAGGGCAGGAGGCAGGGGGTGCCCAAAGCCCATCCTCACAGTCAGCAATGCAGTTGGGTGTGTGTGTGTCCCACCCTGGGGCGGGGGTCTGTGTGTGGCTCCCACCCTGGGACAGGGGGTCTGTGTGTGTATCTCCCACCCTGGGGCGGGGTGTGTGTGTGTGGGTCCCACCCTGGGGCGGGGGGTCTGTGTGTGCGTCTCCCACCATGGGGCAGGGGGGGTGTGTGTGTGTGTGTCTCCCACCCTGGGGCGGGGGGTCTGTGTGTGCATCTCCCACCCTGGGGCAGGGTGTGTGTGTGTGTGTGTGTGTGTCTCCCACCCTGGGGCGGGGGGTCTGTGTGTGTCTCCCACCCTGGGGCAGGGGGTCTGTGTGTGTATCTCCCACCCTGGGGCGGGGGGTCTGTGTGTGTGTCTCCCACCCTGGGGCGGGGGGTCTGTGTGTGTGTCTCCCACCCTGGGGCGGGGGTGTGTGTGGGTCCCACCCTGGGGCGGGGGGTCTGTGTGTGGCTCCCACCCTGGGGCGGGGGTCTGTGTGTGTATTTCCCACCCTGGGGCAGGGGGTCTGTGTGTGTGTCTCCCACCCTGGGGCGGGGGTGTGTGTGTGTCTCCCACTCTGGGGCAGGGGGTCTGTGTGTGGCTCCCACCCTGGTGCGGGGGTCTGTGTGTGTATCTCCCACCCTGGGGCGGGGGGTCTGTGTGTGTATCTCCCACCCTGGGGCGGGGGGTGTGTGTGTGGGTCCCACCCTGGGGCGGGGGGTCTGTGTGTGCATCTCCCACCATGGGGCAGGGGGGGTGTGTGTGTGTGTGTCTCCCACCCTGGGGCGGGGGGTCTGTGTGTGCATCTCCCACCCTGGGGCAGGGTGTGTGTGTGTGTGTGTGTGTATCTCCCACCCTGGGGCGGGGGGTCTGTGTGTGTATCTCCCACCCTGGGGCGGGGGGTGTGTGTGTGGCTCCCACCCTGGGGCAGGGGGTCTGTGTGTGTATCTCCCACCCTGGGGCGGGGGGTCTGTGTGTGTGGCTCCCACCCTGGGGCAGGGGGTCTGTGTGTGTATCTCCCACCCTGGGGCGGGGGGTCTGTGTGTGTGTGTCTCCCACCCTGGAGCAGGGGGTCTGTGTGTGGCTCCCACTCTGGGGCAGGGGAGCCCACAGGCCCAGCCGCACACGTCCCACCCCAGGGCCTGGGCGTGCGAGCGTATCCAAGCCGTAGCTCATCACCGTCTGTGAGTCACGGCCCCACGACCTCAGCGGACGGCTGAGGGGAAGGATGGAGACGCTGCCCTCACGTGCCCTGCGTATCCCGCCCTGACGCATCCGGCCAGCAGCGGGGGTGTGGGGCCCGGGGGCGGTCAGCACCTGCAGCCCCGCCTGCTGAAAGCCTCTGGAGACGACTCATCGACAGCTGAGCTAGTAACAAGCACCCTGGAGACCTCCCTGTTCTGATTCTGAGCTTTACAAAGCAGAGGTCGCCTTCACGGAGAACACAGGGTGGACTCCAGGAGACGATCTGGAGACAATTATTAACAGGAGCCAGGCTCATAAAGGCTGCGGAATGCGCTGGTCACGGACACATCACATCTAGTTTCCAGGTGGCGGGGAGGGTCGGCAAAGGGTTGGAATCCTGGTCCCTCCTCGTTGGAGGAGAGGGCTGGGGTGTGGACATCTCAGGACGGTCACTCAGGAGCTGGCATGAACAGGGTGGGAGGCACCAGCACGGTGGGGTTGGGGAAGCTGCTGTGGGGACTTAGGTTGGACAGCAGGTGTAAGTGGAGAGGCGGTGCCGTAGGTAAAAGCAGGACCGGCTGGTTCCGAGGAGAGGCTGAGAACGACAGACACCGACCGGTCCAGCAGGACTGCCCAGGTAAGGACAGCCAGAGGGACTCACATAGTTCTGACGGGAAACCTCTGTGGCCAGGACTGCCGGGTCTCCCACGCAGCTGGTGACGGGGGAAGGCGGGGACACGCTGCTTTCAGAGGAGCTGGTGACGGGGACAAGGTGCTTTCACAGGAGCCAAGAACAGGGAGCAGTGGGTGGGGTGGAGGGTGGGCTCCCGTGGGCTCGAGGACCCAAGGCCAAGCTCCCAAGGCTGCCATTGTCACCGTCGCAGTGAGGTCGCACTCCAGGCTGCAGTCCATTGCTGGGGGGCCCCGGGGGTGTTGGCCCCACGGCCCTGCCCTTCCCCGCCTCCCTCTCTTTCTCCCTCCCTCTTCCTGGTGAGGAAGCTGGCAGGGGCCACGCCCTTCCTCTCCACAGGCCCGGAGATGGTTAAAATGAAAATTATAGTGGCTGGAGAGGCCACCAAGCAGGAAGCCAAAGATGGACGAGAGATGGGACGCCTTGGAAAAAAATCAGCCCCTCTCCTCTGCCTCCAGGAAATGATGAGAATTATCTTCCACACTTTTCCACCCATCCCTCCCACCATCAAGGACTTCTCCAAACTCTGAGGCTCCTGGAGGGGGCTCATCGGCAGGGACTCTGTGCCCGCCAAGCTGGTCATTCACCTACGGGCTCAGCCAGGGGCAGGACTGTAAAGGGAGGGGGCGTTGAGGCCCCTGAGACGCTGCAGGACTCCGGCGTCCTGGAGAGCCAGGCATGGCACCGTGTGTTCACGATCAGCATCAAAGCAGCGTCCCCTCCCCTCCCACTGTCTGTGTCCACGATGCTGCTGCCCAGCCCTGGGCACCTGCTCACTGGGGCCTGCACCCCAAGCTCCAAGCAGACGTGACCAACCCAGGAGCACCTGACACATGGCCCTGGGAGAAGGTGAAGGACAGACTGGAATCCTGGGACCTGCCTGGACTGCCTAGGGTCTGTGTTCCCCAGAACCAGACAGAGCCCCCACCCACATTCCCCAAGCCACTGAGCGGTGCCCGTTTCCCGGATGCACTGGCCTGGGAACAGCAGCCCCACACAGCCTCAGCCAAGTCTGCTGGGCACAGGTCTGGGCACGGCCTGGAGTTGCACCTGTCCACTCTCTGCGCCTCCCATCCTGCAGGGTTTCCTCAGCATCCAAGGAAGGCGTCCGTGTTGCCTGCGGAAGCGGCCAGTGCAGGGCTGGGAGGTCCTGCCCACAGGTAACCAAATCCCAAGGTCCTGGGGCCGGGTCCCCTCCCTCCTGGCCCCGTCTGTGCCCCTCTGTGTTCTGGCCAACTCCAGGTTATCAGTGCCGAGTTTATTCAAGGAAGCCGATTACGGAGCACGAAGGTGCCACGATCACGCCTACAAGAACCACCAGAGCAGCGGGTTTCCTCCTGGCTGGGCAGGGGATGGGGCTCACACCCCAACTCTTGTCCGCGTTTCCAGCCCATGGAGCCTCTGTTCTCGTAAATCAGCCGAAACTGAACCTTCTGACTCACAGATGAGCTCGTCCACCTCTCGGCGGGTCGCCCACGCCAGGCCAAAGGCATAGGAAAGGCATAGGCACACCTCAGGCTCAGCGGGGCTGGCGCTTCGCGGCTCAGCCTCCATCGACTCTCGCAGCTGCAGCAAGTGCAGGAACAGGAGACAAGGGAAACCACGGCGCTGGCTGGACAGAGCTGGGGAGCCGGCCTCGCCCAGGGGACAGCGTCACTGCTGCCAGATGGCCGGCACCGACATTCCACATTATGTACCCATTCCTGCGGCATTAAGGGCTTAGGGGCCCCCGTCCCCTGATGAAAGGCGAATACCCTGGGGACAGGCGATGCATCAACCTCCTCAGATCCCTCCTGCCCCTCGACCCCATCAGGATAGGAGAGGCCTCTCGTGAGGGCCCTGGAGGTGCTCAGCCCAGGGAGGGGCCCAGCACCTGTGCCTGTTCCCGTGGAGACGCCAGGCGTCGGGTGGGTCCCAGCTCCAGGGCCCCCGGTGAACCTCCGAGTCTGGGCCCCTGTCCTCAGTTCCGACGGTCCCTGCACGTCTGCTTCCTCAGATACACAACCCAACAGGCACAGAGCCCTGGAAATCACCTCAGATACACAACCCAACAGGCACAGAGCCCTGGAAATCACCTCAGGCTCGGTTTAAGCAGGTGCCACAGGGTCACCAGGTGTGAACAAGGAAACCCCAGCACCTGCCTCACAGGACACAGCAAAGTTCTGGGACCCCCAAGCCAGCCTGACATGTACTGGGCCACAGTCCTGCGCAGGACCCCACAGGCCCAGGAGGCACACGAGGGTGAGCGAGGACCCATGGCCAAATGCCTGCTCTGGTCCCTCGGGCTCAAGTCACTCCTCACAAGAGGCCGCTGCCTCCCTGCGACCCCACAGGACCCCAAGGCAGCTCAGCCCCGACCCTCCTGTGCCTCTCCCAAACCCACCCACCGCCCCAGCCTACACAGGGCCTGGAGGCCTCGGACCCCACCCCCAGAGGCAGGAGAGACAGTCTCTGCTCCCAAAGGAGAGCTCACAGGCTCCATAAGGGTCACCCCAGCCGACAAGCAGAACCATTGATTTCCACTGGAAGTGTCGAAATTGGGCCTGTGCTGTGTGGACGTCCAGGTGTGCATGGCAGGGACTGACTGTGCTGCAGCCTCTTTAAGAATCTCACCCAGAAGCAGAACAAAGCTCAGGCCACAGAGCACGTGACCTGCAGCCCAACGTCTTCAAAACCAATCATCACTTCAATCAGCAGAAAGAATGTTCGCAAGTCACTAATATCTGGCCTGGCACCTTTACCTCCGGTTAGAAAGACTGAACTTAGTGCTTGGGTTTCTCTAGGTTTTGTCTCATTGTGAGTTTCTCTCCAGGACCCCCAGAGCAACGCTGGTGCCCCCTCCCCCAGATCCCCCACCCACCATAACTGTTGGTGACCAAGATAAAGGCCGCTGTGGTTAAAGTTTTATCCAGCGTGCAACCAACCACAGCACAGCTGAGTTTGCACCAGCGTCCAGCCCTGCGGGTGCTGAGGCCCAAGGGGCAGTCAGAGCTCATGGGCCAGTCAGGATTCCAGGCAGACGGCCCTACGCTCACTCTGTAAATGACCAGTCCATTTGGGAGAGATTTCAGAGAGAGACGGAAAACTGATCTAGGCCAAGAACATAGAACACAAAAACGTGGGCTCCCATTCAGGATAAAAGTCTGCACACCTGAGGCCGAGGCCACACAGACCATGGAGGTCACATAGCCCACAGGTGCCTCCCGGGACCTCATGCCTCCTGGTGTCTACCCTCAGAATTTTCTAGAGACCAACACAGCCCTCCACAAAGGACCTGTCCCCCAAGCACAGGCGTCCACAGACGCCACGTGACAACTCCACTCCCTGCTGGCCACACAGGGAAGCTGTCTGCTTATCGTACCCACAAGACCCGTCGGGGACGGGGGTGGCCCCAAGTTCTGGGCATCACAGCTGAGCACCGCTCCAGGCTGAGTCAGTCTCAGCTCCCACCCAAAAATTGACGTTTCAGGGTCTTTAGCCGACACCAGAAACACCCAGCCCATTCCCAGGGCAGTTTGAATGACAAAAGCACCCGTTTCAAAGGCACTTCACCATCCACAAGCACAGGGGCGTGTCTGACCCAGCTATGGCCCAGCCGCCCACAGGGGGACGCTCGCCATGCTCCCCAGACGCACCTCCCGGGAGACAGGCCCCGCTTCGCCAAGGCCATGCCGCCCAGAACACTAACCCAGATGGGCCAGTCTTTTCAAAGGTGGTTTTAGTGGGAAAGGCTGCATCTCAAAGATGGTTTAGCTTGGCCGTCCCGCACCCCCCACACCATGTCACACCCCTAGGAGGGCCCCTCTGCGGGTGCCAGTGCCCCCAAACCCCAGTCGCCCGTGGGGTTCTTTGGGTAAAACGTCATGTCCGAAGCACAGATACAGGAGGGTTTTCACCAAGGCTGAGCAGACGAGGGGGCAGGAAGAAATCAGAGACACCTGTCAGATCACAGCCCCACAATGACAAGGCCTGCCACCCCAGACAGGGGAGCCTGCGCCAGCCCACCACCCCCGACCCGGGCAGGACACTCACCAGACAGCTCATGCAGGTCTGACGCCCTGTGCCTCCTAATCAGCTCATACTGGAAGCCCGTGGTCCTCCGGCCGATATCCTGCTGCGGCGTGGCCTCCACGAACAGGCCGCCCTGCTCCAGGCCAAAGCACTGCACCCGGCCGGGCCTGCCGTCCCCGTCCGGTACCAGCAGTCTCAGTTCTCCAGTTTTTTCCAAATAAATATTGGCCCCCGAGGAGTCCCTGAAGGGCTTGATGCACACAGTCAGGTGCCGGGCAGGCGAGAAGGTGTTGGGCCGCAGGTTAACGATGAGAGCACCTGTCGGGTACATCCACTCCACAGCGCCCGCCACGCAGCGCAGATACACCTGCTCCACCTCCTTCCTGTGCGTCTCGTGCGTCAGCCCACTGCAGAGGACAGACACGTCAGCCAGGCCCGGAGCTGAGGCTCCTGCCCCCAGCACACACCCCACCCACACCCACAGACAACCAGTAAGGACGACACCTCTCAAAATGATGGCGGCTCACGGACCCACCCGCTGCCAGCCACAGGTGCCACACGGACCCCTGCCCGTGAGGCAGGCCGGCGCCATCTCCGCCCTTCGGCACAGGGGCCCCACCCAGTTCCTTCCAGTGCATCTGCACCGAGAGCCACGGTGGGGCCGAGCTCCCAGGAATGCAGGTGGTGCTGGCCCCCAGGCTCTCCAGACACCCTCCAACACTCAGAGTCTGCGCCTCTGCTGCCATAGTGTCAAACACCAATCTCTGCAGTGTTCCTGAATCAGGGTGGCTGGAGGTGCCGGGGCAGTGGGAGGGAGCCCGAAGGAAGGGACGGATTCCTCCGGAATATCACGGAGTGTCATGGAAACACCAGCAGGCCTTGTGTACCAACTCTGGTTCCAGATGACCACGAGGGCTGGGACGCTAGAGGTAAAGTGACGGTGGGACCCCACGCTACAGGTGCGTGAGGGAGGAACCCTGGGATGCAACCTGCCCAGAGAGCAGCTTTTAAATTAATCCAGAGGGTTGGCAGTTTGGGGGGAAGGAGATCCTAGATGAGTTTTGTTTTTAGCACCTAATTAAGCATAGATGTTTGTACATTTTTCAAAGTAATGATTTGACCGTTTTCTGCAAGCCTGAAGACCCTGCACTGCCGACAGTGTGTGTAAAAATAAGCTATCGTTAAAGCAAGATTCACTACAAAAGCGAGGTGAACTTCCTCCACAGGGTGAGGATTCGGGCGGGGGACTACTGTGTGAGTAGCAAGCTAAGTTTACCCCCATGAACGCTAAATAGAAAAAAATGAAGTGTGCTACACCCTTGGAGAGGCAGGTCCTGAGTAGAAACAGTTATATTTTCGAGAAACTGAAACATCAAAAACCTTACACTTCTTCTCCACACTTTAATGTAAATGCCAGCTCGTGGCTAACAGTCACATCACAACCACCAAGTGGGCCTGGAACTAACCCAGTGACTTCAACTAAGTGTTTTATTACATGAAACTGGGTTCTGAGCAGATCTCAGACAGGTTCACCCACATTCTTAGGATTTTTATGTGAAATAAGCAATGCTCTTTCCAGAGCCCTGGCCTGAGCGAGTCACCAGAAACCCTTTCGGCAGCAGAGAAAATGCCTAACATATGGTTTGCATTTACTGCTGCTGACTCACACTCTCGGCCCCCAAACCTCACTTTTCATAGGCTGCAGGCCACATCAGAGGGAGGTGTCGAGGGGTGCACTCCTCCTCACCCTCTCCCCACCCCCACAAGGCCCTAGGTCATGAGTGGCCACGCTGCACCGGCTGCCAGGATCACACACCCAGAACAGACTCACAAATTACAGTCCATAAAGCTTAGGCAAGCTCATCTAACACATATGTGGGGAAGGGCATGATGGTCGTGCTGTGTGGACACTGGACTCAGTGGAGAGTGGCTGACACACTCGGCTACAGTCAGTTCTCTCCTTACGCAGCCTCATCGTCGTGTCCCTCCCTCCCGACTCTGGCATCGAGGCCACTGTCCTCCTGCCCCTGCTTAGGCACCGAGCCTCAGCCCTCTCTCCACATACACCGTCCTGACACGTTGCCTCCTCTCGGGGGGTCCTGAAGCTCGAGGGAGTGGGCTCTGGTCACCTCTGACAGTACTGCCTTCATCCGAGCAGGGGAGGGGAACAGCCACAAATCAGCAGGGGCGGAGGGCACCCTCCTGGGGACAAGCAGCCAACCCACCTCTGCCCAGGGGGAGGCCAACTTGAGCCTTGGGGCCATCCTGGCCTAGCACATGCTACCTGCATCTGGTGGGCACATCTGGCTCCACCCACTCAGAAGACACTGGGCAAAAAGAGGACGAGGACAAAACGAAGGTGGACACAGAAGAAAGAAGGCACCCGGCTACCTCACCCTTCACCTAACGTCTTCTCAGCCCACTCAGAGGGGTCTGCACCCAGCGCAGGGCCTGCTGCCCTCTTTTCTCACATTCTTGCGAAACATCCAGACCAACGGGACTCCAGCTAGGCCAGTGACATGGGAATTTTCACATTAAAATCAGTAGCATGTGATGCACAAGACCCATGTAGATTAAAAAAAAAAAAAGTAAAACGATGCGTCCTTCAGCCTGGGACCCAGCAGACCTCGGCACGAAGTCCAAGACTCATGGTCTGTGCTGGTTCCTACCAGAAAATCGAGCGCCTCAAAGTTCTCACCTCCAAATATCCAGCACCTCAGCAAACCTGGAAACAGAGTCTGTTTATGCAAAATTGGTGGCATTGCAAAAATGTGACATATCTAATGGTCATGGATGAGGGCATTTTGTGATTTTCACAGGAGATGCAGGTGACACACACACAGTTCTGTTGTGATAAAACTAAACCGTGCAGACAAAACTGTGGTTCTGTCCAACTTTAGGAAACTGGCAAGATTGATTTGATGTTGGATAAACAGACTCAACAGATGCATTTTTAATAGTCAGCAAAGGTTACCACCCAGGTGGACATGCTTGTGGGGCACCTTCGTGGAAAGGAGGGCAAATCCCAAGTGGATCAAGGGACTCGCTGAAGGAGGCAGTGCAGGTGCACTGGAGTGTTGCTGAGGCACCAGCCCACACACCACAACTCTGAGTCACCAGGACAAAATGCCCGGCTCCTGTACGAAAGTCAGGAAGGGCTTTGAACCCACTGGCAGGTTACCTTTCCTTTCCCCACCTTGCATGAGAGACAAACCAGGTGTGACCGCACCTGCGATGCCTGGGCTGACACAAGTGGGAAAGTTCATGGTCCAGCTTTATGGCCACTGGCTGATAAAGACAGGGCGCTGGTCCTGCCTCCCCCAAAGGGAAAAAGGTTTCATCATCTCCTACTTAATTGCTTAGAAGAAAAACCCAGCAACAGAGGCTGTCAATGCCGTCACCAGTGTCATGAGGGGCAACTGTCCTGCTATCAGGGGATGAAAATCCACCCAGCACACCAGTGCTCGCTCCACGCTGTGCTTCTTCAGGAAGCTGGTAAAAAGTCACAAACACTGGAGGGTCGCAGGCAGGCCGGTGCACTCCAGTTTTGACAGCGAGTCTCTGTCACTGACTTGTGAAGTGTGTGGATCAACGGGGCAGTGATTACAACAAAAGGAAGTCTCACTTATGCCCCAGAAACACAGCCAGGCCCCGTGTCCCCTCCAGATCACACCTGCAGCTCCAGCAGCCCCCACAGCTGCCCTCTGCCAGGCTCTGCAGGTGGGGGTGGGGGGCCCTCCGGGGAGTCTGAGGCCAGGAGCACGCTGGCAACGACGGGGCGAAGAGGGTCTCCGGGTAGACCGGAGGGTGCACAGGTCCTGGAGGGCAAAACACTCCTGTCCCGCTGCCATCACCCGGCTGGAGGAGCCGCCCGCCCCTGGAGGTGGAGGGGTGGCCTCCCACCCACCCCTGGCTCCCTACCGCGCCCTCCGGGCCCCAGGAGACGCCCCCTCCCACGGGGCACACAGTCCCCTGACACCCTGAAAAGGCTGCTGGCGCCTTCTCAACAAACTCAGCCTGGGCGGCGGGGGCTGCGTTTCTGGTTTGGGTCTGCTGAAGCAAAACGCCCCAAGGCCTCGGTTTCGGGGTGCGCTGACCCGCCCGGCAGAGGCAGCGAGCCGGAATTTAATCACTACGCGGGGGCAAGGGCGGCCCCAGAAGAGCTGTGAGCCTCGGAGGCTCCCAGCCAGCTCCGCTGGCGCCAGCGTTCCCGGCCGACCCTCCCCCAGACCTCCATCCGCCCGCGGCCCAACCTCAGCTCCCGCGTCCCCTCCCGGCCGGGAGGCTTCTGCCGAGAAGGGAGGCGGCCGCTCCCGGGACAGCCGGGCACCGCCCACGGCTCTCTGGGGTGACTCTCCCTCCCGGCGCCCCGCCCCTTCCCCCGGGAGGCTCCGCTGGGGGGTGACCGCGGCTCCCCTTCCCCCGGGAGGCTCCGCTGGGGGCGCTGGGGGGTGACCGCGGCTCCCCTTCCCCCGGGAGGCTCCGCTGGGGGCGCTGGGGGGTGACCGCGGCTCCCCTTCCCCCGGGAGGCTCCGCTGGGGGGTGACCGTGGCGCCCCTTCCCCGGGGGAGGCTCCGCTGGGGGGTGACCGTGGCTCCCCTTCCCCCGGGAGGCTCCGCTGGGGGGTGACCGCGGCTCCCCTTCCCCGGGGGAGGCTCCGCTGGGGGCGCTGGGGGGTGACCGCGGCTCCCCTTCCCCCGGGAGGCTCCGCTGGGGGGTGACCGTGGCGCCCCTTCCCCCGGGAGGCTCCGCTGGGGGGTGACCGCGGCTCCCCTTCCCCCGGGGAGGCTCCGCTGGGGGCGCTGGGGGGTGACCGCGGCTTCGCAGAGACCGAGAACGGAGGCTGCGGTCCGGGGAGACCCGCGCCTGCCCCGCGGACACCAGCCCCGCACCGGCTCTGCCCCGACCTTCTCGGAAAACAGCTTCGCTCGAAATAACCGCGTGACTCGGTGCCCGGCGGGGGCGGCGGCCGGCGGGCGGGGGACGGGCCGAGGGGAAGCGGGACCCGGGCCCAGGCCGGCCCGGCCACGGCTTTCCGGGAGGCGCGCGTCACTCGGGTCCCCGCGCATCTGCGAACTCCGGAACTGGCGACTCCGAGGCTCGCGCAGGGCGGGTTCGGCCGCGGTGCCCTCGGCGCCCTGGGATTCGCGTGGGAGCAGCGGCGGCTCCCGAGGGGCACTCGCGGCTGGCGCTGCTCTCGGCGGCCACACTTGAGTTAAAAAAAAAAAGTCCTCGGCTGCCACCGCGGGTGGGCGGAGGGGGGGTCGCCCAGCGCAGCGCGCGCCGCGGCCAAGGGCGGCCTGACCTTCACGGGGCAGGGGCGCACTCGGCCCGGTTCACAGGTGCCCGCCCGCGGCTCCCCGAGACAGAAGTGGCCCCCGCTGCGGTCCGCGCCCGTCCCCCGACACCGCCGCTCCCTCCCGCGGCCGCCCCTTCCCGCTCTGGCCCGGGGCGGCCTCGGGGCGCGCAACTCCCGGAGCCTGCAAGGAAGGGCCCGAGCACCGACCCCCGCCTGTCCCCGGGATGGGGTCGCGGGACCGGCGGCCCCCGAGGCTCGGACACGCGCGGAGCCGGGCCCGACCCTGCCGCGCTGCAGGCGCGCCTCCCCCGGGCGTCCTCCGGGCCAGGGACCGGGACGCCGCAGGCTCTTTTGTTCTAGAACCGGGGGCGGGGGACAGCGGGCACCGGACTGGGCCTGGAGAGCGGCCCCCGGAGCCTCTGCCCCGCGCTCGCCCCTGGCCGCGCCCCCGCACGCTCGGCCGGCCCAGGACGGGAGGGGACGCGAGGGGAGGGGGCCGGGCCGGGGTCGCGCCGCGCACACTCACCTCCCCTTCCAGCTGCACAGGTCGCTGGAGTACTGCGCGCCCGCGCCGCCCAGCAGCACGGCCGGGAGCAGGAGCAGCAGCAGGAGCGGCGGCGGGGGCGGGCCCGGGGCGGGGGGTCGCGGCCACAGCTGCCCCGCACGCCCCCAGGCCGCCCGCGCCGCGCCCCGCATGCTCTGGCTCCGGCTCCG